AGAGGCACCAAAGATCGTTCCGAGACGGCCCAGGAGGCCTCCGAGAGGTCTTTACGCGGCTCAAGAGGCTTCCAAGACGATTCAGGAGGCGCCCAAGACTGCCAAAGAGGCTCCAAAAACGGTTCCAAGAGGTGGCCCGCCCAGATGGGGGACCCGAGCGGACATTCCGAGCTTTTGGCCCTGGGAAGCCCCCAGGAGGCACGAACAGGCCACCCAAAGGCCCCCAGGAGGCCCCAGGAGGCCCCCAAGGGACCCCAGGAAGCCCCCAAGAAGCCCCCACGAGGCTCCCCGGGGGCTCCAACATTGCCCCCGCGAGGCCCCCGAGAGCGCTCCCAAGAGGCCCGACGAGGCCTCCAAGACGCCCTGTGCCCTCCAGGCCAGGACCTCGACTGCATATGTCACCAGCCTCGAACGTATGCCTATCCCTAAGATTGACACTGCCAAAAGGCGGTGACAATCTTAGGGATCCGCTCTGAAAAACTAAGGGAATTCCTAAGGATGGCATTGTGTTGAGGCGATGCCCAGCTTAGGGATAGGGATATGTTCCAGGCTGGTAAATATGGTATGGGGAATCTGGGGCTCCGAGACGGTCCGAGAGGGTTGTCAGACGTTTCCGAATCTTCCGGGCCTTCAGGGCACCCCCTCGTGGCCACGGCTGGAGGCGGTGAGAACTCCAGGCCCGAGCGCCCCCCCGGGCGGTGTTGGGAGAGGCCGCCGCCCCACCGCCTGCTCGGTGCTCCTCTCCCTCTCCCCCCCCCCGTTCGCCTCCTGCGCTGCTGTCGCCCTCCGAGCGTGGGTGCTGTCGGGGGAGGGGTCCGGCTGGCTGCCGCCGCTTGGCAGGGGCGCGCCTGGCCTCCTCAGCGAGGGGGGCTCCGAGAGCCTCCGGACGGCGGACGATGGCGCGCAGACCGGCCCAGGGCCGCCCCGAGTGGCTCCGGCAGATCGGAGGCGGACCCAGAGCGCGTCCTCGGTTTCGATCTGCAGAAGCGCGTCCTCGGTTTCGATCTGCAAGGGCCCATGGCGCGGCGCCAAGGCGCCAAGGCGCCAGGCGCCTCGTTCCTCGCCTTGGCCCATGGCCCCAGCAAGGGCTCCAGAAGCGCGTCCTCGGTTTCGATCTGCACGCCGGCTCCCTTTCGGGTCCACGCGGGCGGCCCCCGCGGTCGCGAGAGGCGAGAGCGGCGTGCCTGACGGGTGCCGAGTTAGTCTGGAGCGAGAGTTCGGAAGTTGTCGCGCACCTCCGGGGCGCCTCGATGTCCTCCTGCCCGCGTGTGGCCTTTGTGGACGCCGCGCTCACGCGGGCACGCAATATTCAAAAAGCATCGTTCCGTCGGTCTTGGTGCTGGGCACAGCCGGCGGCGGCGAGCCGCTTTTTTCGTCACGCAATCGTTCCAGTATGTGTGAACAGAGTGCTGAGCGGAGGCTTTTGGATTCCGTGCCAGTGCTTTGCACAGAAGCTGGTCGCCTGACATGTCAGTATTAAACAAATCACGACGGTGGCGCGCAAACTCGCAGCCCCAACTAGGCGGAGGACCCCCCTAAGCATGTGGGGATATGAATTGACAGGTCACGTTTGATAGATTTTGAACTCCTAGCCGTGCCAATGTTCCCCCGACCGTGGACTTGTTGTGTATGTGTATGTCTGCATGTATGCATGTGTGTTTGTATGCATATGTAGATGCAGATGCAGATGCAGATGCATATGCATATGCATATGCATGCATGCATGCATGTATACATGTATGTATGTATGTATGTATGCATGTATGTATGTATGTATGTATGTATGTATGCATGCATGAATGCATGCATGCATGCATGCATGCATGCATGCATGTATGTATGCATGTATGTATGTATGTATGTATGTATGTATGTATGTATGTATGTATGTGTGTGTGTCTGTATGTATGTATGCATGTATGTATGTATGTATGTATGTATGTATGCATGTGTGTATGTATGTATGTATGTATGTATGTATGTATGTATGTATGTATGCATGTGTGTGTATGTATGTGTGTATGTATGTTTGTACGTATGTATGAATGCATAGATATGTGGATATGTATGTATGCATGCATGCATGCATGCATCTAGGTATGCATGCATGCATGCATGCATGCATGCATGAATGTATGCATGTATGTATGTATGTATGTATGTATGTATGTATGTATGTACGTGTGTGTGTATGTATGTATGTATGTATGTATGTATGTATGTATGTATGTATGCATGCACGTGTGTATGTATGTATGTATGTATGTATGTGTGTATGCATGTCTGTATACATGTACGTGTATGTATGTGTATGTATGTATGCCTGTATGCATGTATGTATGTATGTCTGCATGCCTGTATGTATGTATGCATGTATGTATGTATGTCTGTAGGTAAGCATATACGGATGTATGTATGCACACATCTATACATTTATGCCTGCCTGCATGCATGTATGTACGTAGGTAGTCAGGCAGGGAGCCAGGTAGGTAGGTAGGTA